GGCAAATGTAAAACTCAGTACAAATGATAATAGTTATTGCTGCTACTATTTGCTTCCAAAGCACATGGTATATGTACTTAGGTACTTAGAGAGAAAGTTGTGCTGCGTGTCCAGATTAAGAAGAAAGAAGCAAAATTTCCTTTTACCTCTCTCTTGACTATCCTAAATTCAGACCTCCTTTAGTAGATATTTGCTGGTTATGTGTTGTCTAAAAGGGGAAGGAAGATGGTCAAAAATATGGATGAAATTAAGATTCTACTTGACTGATGTAACTGAGATAGTTTGTATCAACAAAGCCCTGTATTCACTTCAAAATAAATGAGAGGAAAAAATATTGTCTCAGAAAAGTACCTTCTCTCAGCTGATCAGATACTTAGAATGTTCATGAATTTTACCTAAGAAATTTTCTATGCTGTTTAAAAAAAGTGTGAGCTTTGATAAATGCCTGTTATCCTTTATCTTTTCTTCTGCACAATTTTGTAGTTATTTTGATCACCTAATAATTTGTATAAGTCAGTTATCTAGTGGTGAGTGGAAATGCAGATAGGTTATGTATTTAAGGATTTTATTTCTCCTGTAGTGATGAAAACAAATGATCCCTCTCAGGCCTGGTCGATGAGGTACACAGCTTTATTAAAAATTATCACCATTGTGTGCCAACAGGCTTTCCCTGTCTTTGTAATTTTGTTGCCTCTATTTTTGGGACATTGATTTCAGAAATGCATGGTCCTTTTCATAGAATCATAGAACCACAAACTTGAAAAGGTCCTTAAGGTCATCAAGTCCAAGAATAAACATTGCACTGCCAAGTTCAGCACTGAACCTTGTCCCTTATTTTAATCTCATTTGTCCCATTACCCTTCTTTGAGAGGCATACCTCCTAGAACAGTTGTCACAGAATCACAGAACAAGCTGATTTGGAAGGCACCCACAAGGACCATTGAGTCCAGTCCCTGGCCCTGCTCAGATAAGCCCCAAGTTTCACACCACACACCTGAGAACATTGTCCAAACATTTCTTCAACAATGTCAGGTTGATGCTGTGGCCACTTCTCTGGGGAGCCTCTTTCAATTCACAGCCGCCCTCTGGGTGAAGAACTTTTTTCTTATATCTAAACTAAACTTCAGGATATTCCCTCACTGTTCTTGTCGCTGGTCATCACAGAGAAGTCATCAGTGCCTGTGGCTCCATTTTCCTTCATAAGCAAGTTGCAGATTGCAATGAGGTCTCCTCAGTCTCCTCCAGGCTGAACTGACCAAGTGATCTCAGCCGCTCCGCATACGGCTTCCCCTCAAAGCCCTTAATCAATTTTCGTTGCCCTCCTCTGGACACTCTGCAATAATTAAGTATTTTCCTTATATTGTGGCACCCAAAACTGCACACATTATGTGCACTGTATGTGTGCAAAACTGCACACATACAGGTGAGGCCACCCCAGAGCAGAGTAGAGCAGGACAATCCCACTGGAGCTGCTGTACCTGATGTCCCCTAGGACATGGGTGGCCCTCCTGGATGCCAGGGCACTGCTGACTCAAATCTTGTGCACTACTGTCAAGTGAATAAAACGATGATATCAAAGCTGCTGATAAAGTTGCAGTTTTATGAAAGTAAAACTAGAAATAGCAATATTTTCCTAATAAAATATGCTTAATCTTTTAATCTTTTATATCATATATGAGTTAATATTTTAAATGCCTCACTGAAGAAAGTATTGCAGCAGCTTTATATTGATAGCTCTGGAAACCTCTCTCTCTTCTTTTAATGTAGCAACTGCTATAGAAATTCTGTAAAATTTAATCAGATTTGACACAAAACCTTATTGCTCCTGAATAAAATGAAAATATAGATATGATGATTTCAGCATGATCATGACATGGAGTTTTATACCTCTATCTCACCCCAAATAAAAAGCTGTCAAATGCTTTTCTGTGTCTGGGTAAGTCTCAAGCACAGATGAGAGCAAGCTGGCCAAGTCTCGTACAATTCAGATTTAAATGATTAGTGTGGGATGTGGAAAGCAACAGGAGGCTTTGGATGAGGTTATATCATCTCCTCTGCTTTGAGTGTATGTGCCTGGTTTTTGTTCATGAAGTTCTCAACATAGGGATCTGATTAGATTTGCAGTTTTTTCTGGATGATCAAACAGTACAATAGTACTAAGCCTTGCTCCACCTGCATCTGGTTAAGAGCTTGTGTGATTTCCTCTCTGAGCAGAATCCTTCTCTGGTGACTTAAAATTTTATTTCCATAATGGTGGCATTCAGCAAAAATAGAAGGACACCTTAAATTTATGCCGAGGATATAAGTGACAGAATACAGCTGCCCATTGAATAGAAAGGAGCAATTTATAGTGAGCAAAATGAAGTTTGTATATAAGGATATACATATTAATGGCCATTTGACTTTGTTGAATTCTGAGGTGAGTTTTGACTTAAAAAATGTCCAGCTAACCTGGCCATGATCCACTTTCTCTCACAGTTCAATGTGCAACCAAATCAAAGACAGAAGGATAGTCTGGAATCCAAGGATATTTGTATCTGGATTGCCCTGAAATTATCAGATACTTTACTTTTCAGTTTTGCAATATAAGGATTGCAATTTCTATTATATTATATACATATTTATAATCTAATGCATTGTATTGATTTTGGCTGGGATAGAGGTAATATTTTTGCTAGGAACTTGTGTGATGTTAAGTTTTGAATTTGTGATGAAAAGAGTGTTGATAATACAGGGATGTTTTAGCTGTTTCTGAGTGGCACTAACACAGACCTTTTCTACCTCTCACTCCACCCCACCAGTGAGCAGGCTGGGGGATGCACAAGGAGTTGGGAAGGAGCACAGCTGGGACAGCCAACACCAAATGGCCAAAGGATGCTGTTCTTCATCCCATACTATATTGTGTCATGCTCAGCATGTAATACAGGGGAAAGAAGAAGGTGGGACATTCAGAGTAATGACTTTTGTCTTCCCATGTCACCACTACGTGTGCTGGATTCCTGATTTTCTGGAGGTGGCTGAACATCTGTTTGTCCATAGGAAGCAACAAAGGAATTCCTTTTTTTGCTTTGCCTGTAGATGTCTGCAAAAGCAGCTTTTGCTTTACCTATTAAACTCAGTTTCAACTCATGAGTTTTTTCACTTGAACACTTCTGATTCTCTCCCCATCCTAGCAGTGGGGAGTGAGTGAGAAGTTCTGTGAGTCTGAGCTGCTGACTGGGGTTAAAATATGACAGTACTCTATGTATGATAGTAAAGGTGTCACTTCTCTGGCTTTTTAAGTGTATTCACACTGTATTTTTTTTACCCACACTAACTTATTAATAGTAAATATAGAAGTATAAAATAAGGTCACTTATTTTTAATTTTATTTGCTTTTAGATCTGAGTGAAACTATTCTAAGTTTCCACATATTGTCTTCCTCCATTTCCCTTTGTCTGTGTTAAATATTTACTTAATACTGGAAAATGATAGAGTTTTTAATAATACCTAGACATCTGATATTGACAGATGAATCTAGCCTTGAGTCAGGGGGACAAGGCAGAGGTAGAGCCTTCAAATGGCACAAACCACCTGCAAATTTAGGCAAATCTTGCCCAAACATCATGAGTTTTACCTAATATAAACAGATGATCCTTAAAGTAGAATGAATTCAATTCAGAAATGTGCCTTAGAAGATGTCCCTTCTAGACAGAGTAGTGCTTCTTTTATACCTTTTGCACTAATAGATGTTGATTTTATTTCTGTGGAGTTTCCCTGTCTCAGGTAAGTAATATGTGTAATTTTGCATAGTCTGAAGTCCAGTGATTGTGTCCTTTGACTAAGTATTAACTAAAATATAGATTTTTTTTAATCATTCAGTCTCTGTACCATAGCTAAACTATGGTTCTATTTTCTGCCTTGTCCATTTCTGAAGTATAAAACCTGTTCCAGTTGCAGTGTTGAAGTATCCAAACACCTGGAGCTTGCTGTGCATCCTTTGAAAATTATGTTACTTCAAGTGCTTACTCTGAGTTCATCATACAGCAAGCGAGTATGGATCTTCTACACCTGAGACAGTTCAGCAAGGAAAATACAGGCATGTAGAGAAAATACCTGGAAATATACAATATGAGGACAAACTGTATCTTATGTCTCATTCTTCTTTTGGATAGGGCCTTAAATAAATTGTATTTATTTTATTCACCAGTTCAATACAATTCCAAGCTCATCATATTTTGTGTTGTTAGTTTCAGTTTCATGTTCTTCCTATTAATAGCTGTATTGCAGGAATTATGTTTGGATTATATAATTTCATCTTTTTCAAGGTATTATTTAAGAATTTTCAGGGGGTTATTTTTATTTTTATTGATCATTTCATAAAGAAAGCAAAACCAGACTTTTCTGCTTGGTAGGGCATAAAAATTGGGTCATTCTGCCATTTTCCCCACTGGTTATCAGCTGTGCAGCCACTAAGTCAGTTAGAGGATGCTACCCTAGCATTTAAAACAGCAATTGGCAGAAAAAAAGTTAATCATTAAAGGTTTTTGTGAGAATGACCTTGGATAATAAAGCACTTTTGGAAGTTTTGACTAAGTAAGCAGCAATATAATTATGTGGTCCTTACAAGAAGTATCAGAAGCAAATGGCTGCAGTAGTTTTATGACTTTGCTTTGGTTTGGTTCTGGTTGGTTTTTATCTTGTTTTTTGTTGTTGTTCTGAGAAGGGACAGCTGAGAACTGGCTGCAGATTTATTCAATTTAAAGAATAATGAGCATCATGTATTGGGCACTGAAAACAAGAAATGTGTTGCAGCTGGAAATCTGACTCTGTTAATTCACATAAGTATTGCTACTTAGATGAAGGGCCTTCTTTATGTTGGACAGAAAATGGTTTTGCTTTCTTAATTTCTTGGCAAAGAGTCTAATTGTAATTGTTGCCAGATGGGTGGTCTCAGGTGAGTTTAAAATAGGCAGCCTTCAAACAACACTTTAATAATCTGACCTTCTCATAGGGAAAATTTAATTTATAGGCCCTATAGGAAGTTGGTTTCCACAAATGATATACTGGGGATAAGAAGAAGCTCCTCCCTCAGATTCTAGTAAGTTTATAAGGCTAGAATTACTCAGCTTGCCTTAATAGCACTAAACTTCATTTACATCTGCTACACTGAACTGTTTAGGGTCATTTGCAAAACCAAATTTGTAATTGGCATCTTCCTGTAATCTGCCTGTGTAGCATAGCTGCAGAGAAGGAATTGGAGTCATCTCCTTAATTCTTGCTTCAGTAGATCCATACCAATCAAAAGCATCGCATCCTTTCAATCTTACTAGCATAGTCAAGCTTGTTTCTTAGACTTGTGGAATAGCTACACTTTCACATGAAAAAGGTCAATCTTTAATTATTTTATGGAGCATAAGTTTCAAATGAACTAAAGCAACATTATCTACACATTTGAGCTACCTCAGATGTTGAACCAGCTGCCTGGCTACGTAGACATTATGAATTCTTCCACACTAAATCGTAGTTGCAAGCACAGAGTCTAGTTCTTTCTGATAGCTGGTGAATTTGTGACCTCCCTGGAATAGCTGGAGCTGTAAACCCTTGAATGGATAAATGATGCATAACGGTAGCTTCTTCATCTGTGACAGATGCAATAATAGCCTGGGCACATTTTTCAGGTAATATAGGTGAAAACTTTGTCCATTCTTCTATCCCAGAAGTCTTACTTTTTGGACTTTTGAGTGAGAAGTAGCATGTACTCTGCTTTTAAAAAGCTCTTAAAAATATATCTACAATGGATATAGGAAAAAGTATAAAATATTATTTATCTTTATAGTAATATTAAGATCATTCTTATTTTTGTTTTTTTAACATGTTATACAAATTAACTGTATAATATCATGCAGCTAAAATTCCTTTAGAAATTTCTTTAGGAGAATCTCTGTTTAAAATACTTAATATGCTAACAGTATTTTGAGCATTTTTTATGTTTTCGCACTTGATTTATATGACAGACATATAAAGCCTTTTATCTATGACTGAAATATCTTCTGCTACTGTGAAAAGAGCTAGTTGTATTGCCAAGTTTGAAACTAGGACTTTAGCAGAGTATTCAGTTTTCAGTATTGCCTTTGATTTACTTTCTTTCATATAACATTTCACTTGGAGTTTTGTTTTTGGTATTTTTTTTTTTTTGCATTTGATTGAAGGCATTTTATAGGTTGAAGAGATTTCATTTCTTTAGGCAATCTAGAAGGTCTTCCCAGGTACCAGATATAAATTCATGTCTGCTTCTACTCTGAGTCCATAAAGGGGCAAGGTCTTGATGTAGAGCATTCTCTTCTCGATATCTAGGGAAAGGAAACTCAAGAAAGGGATTTGGACAGATTTAGACAAAGTCTTGGCTGCTATGGTATCCTTATTCAGTGGTCTTAATCCTTGCAGGTAGGTTTGACACAAATGCCTTCTAATATTTGCTTTAAAATTGATATTTATCTGCTAGTGACCTTATTTGCTGTGTTTGGTATAAAGTGTAAGGACAAAAGCTAGGTAGAAATTAATTTAACTTTAGCTTAAATGCCTGTTGACATTAAAGCCTGTCACACAGGGACTCTTTTACTAGCAGGAGATACCAACAGGCATATAACTCCATGATGTTTTCCCTTCCTTGTCTGCATATAGAAGACAGGTTAGATAGTGAAGTTTATAACATAACCAAAGAGGTCCTAGTTATACAATAATTATTTTCCATTATTATCCAGTAGTTATTTTACATTAAAAAATGTAGTTTTTCAACAGATCACTCTATTCCAATTCAATTAGTTGCTTCCATGTATAATTTTATGTGTTCTGTTTGGTTGGGTTTTTCTTTTCAATATAAATTGAAAGCAAAAAAGTAAAGTTATGGTAAGAAATGTGCACCTAATCATAGAGAATGCTAGAGCACTAAAAATCCTAGAATAGCATCATCTGCTGCTTTCTGTATTTAGGTAATGCTTGGGAATACAAATCATGAGTTATGACTCTTCTCAGCCATGTGGTGTGAGGTAGAGCTAAATTATTTTCTTGTTCCAGTTGAGGTGACAGTCTGTGTGCTGAATGCAGGATGAAAACAGAGCACTGCAAAGAGACCAAGAGACAAACACTGCTTGGCAATATAGACTATGTTTTACTGCACCAATTGCTTAGGGGCTTTGGTTTCTTTTATGCATCATAGCCAATAACAGCTTTAGGAAGAGAATTGATGGCGGATTACAAGATAGCTCTAGGGGTCTTTTAAAGGAGATCCTCCCAGGCATGAAAGGAAGTATGAGAGTAAGCCTGAAATTGCTTGCTGCAAAATGTGGCAAGGGTGATGAATCTACACAGGCTTGGCGTCATAGAAAACAGAAACTAGGTATGTAGTGTGGGGATTGGCCATTAGGGTACCTGTTAATAAAGAAGAATAGTGTATATTCGATGAGACAGAAAAATCAGTGGAAGGGCGTAAAGGGAAGAGAAGTGAGCTAGGAAAATATTCCTTACGGTAGCATTCTGAATAGATTTGACTGAGGCAAGATCATCTCTCAAAGCTGAAAAGAAAGACTTTCCAATAAGCAAGATATGAGATGATGAGAATCTTGGGAGAGATTTAACTGCACAGACAGAGAGGATTATGGTATCTTATAGCTATTATGCAGAATGAATCAACAAAAATTAGATGTAGCTGGGCTTTGAGGCTCTGGAGAGCAGACTGAATCAAAGATGATGCCTATGTTATGGTCCTTGCTCTTATACTGAGCCTAATAGGTTCTTTATCATTAAATTTGTTGTTCATCACAATTTCAGAGTAATCGTGTAAAAATATTTCAGTAGAATAAGAAAAGGACAAATGTCTTTTTCAAAGTAGGAAGGGAAAACTGCCTAGAAGTGTGGACAGCCTAAGGGAAAATCTCCTAAAAATACCTGCCCTAAGTAAAACATATAATCATCTTCCACCATTTGTGACAATGGAGTTCTGGGACAACTAAAGTAAAGGAAAAACATGAGCAATAATTCAACTTTACAAGCTCAGTTCAGCAGTTCAGCACGGACTTTGAGATTTTTTGTTCTCTGTCATGTTCACTACCAGGAACATTTTATTAATTCCCTGCTCACAGTGTGCCTACCCAACCCAAGCTGGGAAGCAGTTTACCTTTTCTCACGCACCAATTCACCTGGGTCTCTTAGACCCCAAAATATGCATCATCATATAGAAACTTCTGTGCTTGCTTTTTGCTCTGACAATCTGGAATGCCTGTGCCATAACATGGTCACTGAAGGTCACTTTAATGGGAGGCTGATTGAAAGGTGTCCTCTAAAATGATAAGACAATTGTAACTGTGGACAAAAATGAATACAGGTTTTTTTAGATATGAGCAAACTCTGATTTGTTTTTCACTTTTTTTCCCAAGTCTTAACTCAGTTTCACTTCTTACTTTTTACTTCTATGTTATCTATGTGTTTTATTCCTCATTACTTTGGCTTATTCTGCTAACATGCATCTTTACTCTCAGAGCTATGAATCTTCTATCTCAGTGTGTACAAATGATATAGGAATCCTTTTTTGATATAAATCTGGCAATGCCTACACCTACTTTTCAGACTAGGCTATTGTAAAACTATTGCTGTGTGGGATTACATCTCCCTTTATCCCTTAATGCAATACATAACCTTAATTAAACTAGGAGATAAAATGTCTGAGTAGAACTTTCACAGGAATTTTATTTACTCACGGAACTATTTGAGGCAGAAAATACCTAGGTATAAGTGTGAAAAGACAGGTGTAAAACAGTACTAGGTTTGTACACTACATGTGTAGTAGTACACTACATGTGTACACTAATGCACTAGTACACTAGTGTAGTGTACAACTAGTACACTACATGTACTGCTAGTACATGAAAAATAAGTTTAGAATCCATATGGTAATTCTAATCAGTAGATACCATTAAATGGGCAAGAGACCTTTTTGAGAAAAAAGAAAAGAAAAAAACCCCAAAACTAACCCTCCCAAAACCTCACAAAAAAACCACCTCCAAACACCCAAAAAATCCCTAACAATCAAAAGCATGATACACTGTAACTCAGGGCCATTAACTTGTTTGATTTATTCACTTTGACAGGAATAGTGCACAGTTCTGTATGTACAATATGATTCCAGGTACTTCTTGATTTGTTTTTCTATCATTTTTCCTGTTGCTTTCATTCAGAAGTCAGATTATAAAGGCTCACATTAAAAAAAAATAAAAAAAAAGTTTTCAATCCAGTCAGCCAAAATACTAAAATAGCAATGACAAATAAAAATCTTTTCACATATATTAGGACCAGCATGTATTGTTTTGTATTTTTTATTCACTACTTATTTAAAATATTCTCACAATGTTGCTTATACTTCTGAAAATAATGAACTGTTACATGGATTTTACATGCTGGCCCTCCCATGAGTGCTTTTAGCAAGCTCTGCCTTTTGAGGAGCCTGTTTTAATGGAGATTGAGGCAGTGGAGAGAAGAAAGCAACAGAAAAAGGTTACATGTTAGGAAAAAAGGTTGTGATTAACTAGCTTGACATTCACTACCACTTCAATACAAGGTGGGGAAAAAATGTTTCCTGTGAAATAGCTGCAGCACTTAGAGTTGTTCATATTTGTTGCAAGCTATTCATCTTCACTTTTTGTGTTTATCTACTATTTTTATATTGAATACTAAAGTGCTAAATATAAATCATAATTGACTAGTATTTTAAATAGAAATATTTTTTTTCTCTAAAGTTCTTTGATTTTTCAAAGAAAAACCTTTTTCCTTCAGCTCTTTTTTATTCTGTTTTTTTACTATTCCAAGTCTATATTCACTCAATACAAACTTTAGAAAGGGTAACTTCTCATTTTCATATACTGTGGATACAGAAAATGACTTATTGAATACAATTCACAAAATAATCATACAGGTAAATACTAAGTTAACTGTTGTGGTTTAAACTTATGAAAAGCCTGTGATTTAAGTCATGGATAGAGTGGAGTTCAGAGGGAGGGACTGTTTTTTACATATATGAATCTAAATTTGCTATCTCAATTAGCTATATTTAGCACTCAGCAGTCATAGAAAATCTGACTAAAATTAGATCTTTCACTAGATTTTAATGGGAAAATTCAGGCGACACTAAGTTATGTCATTGTTGAAGGTGCTCATTAACCACCAGAACCCACATTGTTAGAGGATGGAACTTTCTTATAGTACCTGAATAGCTCTAGAGACAAAAATATTGATAGAAGGAAGAGCTTAAACTGGTATTTCTTTTTTCCTAAATATGTTACCGTAATACTGAATAATGTCTCATTCTCTTCTCTACATCTCCTCAATGAGTATCTACATATTCAGTACTCATGCTTATACATACCACACAAAATTAAAAATTACACTTTCAAAGAACATATGACCATCCTGTAAATTAAACCACCCCTTTTACCACATCTCTGTGTTACCACTCAAACTCTTCCCTTTCCCTTTACTTCTGCTAAGCAAAGAAACTATTTCTGTTTCATAAACAGAAATACTTTTTTTCTGAAAACCTTTGTTTTCTATATGGCAGTGGGTTGATCCCATCAGGCACCTAAAAATCACATGGCAAACTGCTTGCTTCCATCTGCTCCAGGTGAAAAAGGTAGTGAGCAAGAAGAGTAAAACTAAAACATCCCTGGGTCTTAGTGAATACAATTTAAAGGATGTAGGAATGAAGGAAAAAACCCAAACAAGCAAGTGATACAGAGGTAATCCCTCACCACCTCCCACAAATATGACCAGCTACTCTTTGAGCAATGACTGTCTCCCCACAGTTTTTAATGAGGAACATAAATAACATTATGCTGCTTCAAATTTCCTTTTGATCAGTTTGGGTCAACTGCTAAGGTTGTATCTCCTCCCAAATTCTTTTGCATCCTCAGCCTACTCATTGCAGGGAGCAGATTGCAGAAAAAGAAATGAACCAAAACAAAACAAAAACCCCAAAACCTTAATGTTTTACAAGCAATGCTCAGAAATAGTCATAACAATCTTTTTATCAACAGTTCTTTAGTGAGAAATCAAAAATATGGTACAATACTGGCTACTATGAAGAAAATTAAAGACAGACCCATAAAGTGAATACATTTATAAATGCATTTAAATTGTATACATTTAAGTTCAGCCATATTGCCTGACTGAGAGACACATATTCAAGTATTTCCCTTTCTGCTTTCCTTGTTCCTCCCCCCCTTTCCCCTTTCCCCTTTCCCCTTTCCCCTTTCCCCTTTCCCCT